GGGACTAAATGTAATAATTTAGGAATCCGCATCGAAAACTACATGTCAGTCGAGCTAATCTGAATATTAAGGGGACATATGATGGTTTCAGTCCTACATCTGCCTGATTTAGCTTGTGTCTATCAAATGACAGATGAATTTGTACCAAATTACCCTTTGACGTCAACAACAAAAGGAAAGTATGTTCTTCTCCCATTTAAAAGCTGAAAAACCTATTTATTTTTACTGTCCTAAATATGCATGATTATATCCACAGTCTGAAGAAACTAAAAGTGTACTTTTTTGTGAGGTGATGTGTACACGCAGGAATGTGTGTGCCAATCTTGTTATCTTTGTTTGATAATATTGTGTCTCTGCATGAATGGATATGATGATTGTTTATCATGTATTGCGTCCGATTAAAGATCAGGAGAATCAGGCTGCAACATGTGGAACACTTGTTATCCTCTCTGACAGATCTGCACGCCATTTTCCTCATATTATCAGGTACAAGGCTGAGGATATAGTGAAGGAGAAGTGCTGTTACAGTTTCACCCCAGTGAATAAGTATAAGAATATGTTTTATTTATCAGTTTCTGTATAGACACAAAGTCTCGGCTTAAAAAAAAGTAATTGAAAATGTCCACTATCATTGCTCAGAGGAAAAAGTTTACTGAACATACACAGACCTTCTTGCAACAGAATAGCAAGCATGTTGACAAAATATATAAGGTAAACAATGAAACGTGTCTTTAAAAGGGTAGACTCTTAATGGTAAAACATGAAGCAAAATTATTAATGAGATAGCAGCATAACAAAATTTAATCTTTATTTAGGCCAATGAATTAATAAAACATCTTTAAAATTTAAAACATATTTGACATCTTGCCCCAGCTATAATCTGCTACATGCAGCTATAAGGCATGAAGATATTAAGTTTTTATATATTATATATTGTTATATATTGCATGTCACAAAGCTAGCCCCAGTAGTTTGTAAAAAACAACCATACTGTGAGTCTTTGGCTGACTGTGTAGCTCCCTCTAGTGATTATTACACATAAATAACATATTTAACAATTTGCTTTAAATGCAAAAATGGAATGTGGATCCATTATTTCCATCTATTCTCCATTCACCATCTTTAGAAGATCCTATGTGATATCTATCCTATCTGAGATCCGCATATACTGACTCCATGCTTTAACATGTACAAGCAGCTGCCTCAGACACTAAAATCGTAAAGAAATGGCTTTCTCATTCTCATTCAAGTTTGACATGTGGGACAACAGCAGTGCTTGTATTTATCAGCAGAAGGATGATTTGCATATCCTGTCCTTTTGGGAAAACAAAGCAGCTGTGGGAGTACCCCACCTGTCAGTCAGGATGATTGACATTATCTCAATAAGCATTTTATGATGCACGGATTGAATAATTTCACATCTTCAAAAAAAGGAAATGGAAAGATCAAGGGCAGACTCAGCTTCTTCCAGCCTCCTCAGTCCTTCCTACTCAAATAAAGCACTGTCACTGAAGAGACAGTATTGTATTATTTACTGTACATGACAAAGTGTGTTAGAAAAGAGAGAAATCATTCCTGTCAAATTCACTTTTCTTTATGATTCTTGGGAGAGTCACTGTTCATAACACTATAACTTTGAAAACATGTCTGTTTCCATCAGTATATTATCTGTGTGTAATGGTTATCTTATTTTAGTGTTCCAGCCAGAGAAGCCACAGGTTATTTATGTCTGGTTTCTTAGTAATTCATGCCAGGGTCCTCATTTTGTGTGCTAATTTCTATAATTGAGGTATCAATAAATGTTGGAAACCTATAAATGTTAATAGAAAGAACAAGGAATTGAAATGTATAGTCACACACCTCCTTTAATACCCAGCTTTTAATATTTTATGAATATTTTGCTGAAATAAATGAGAAGTACTTTACATTTTCACACTTGTCATTTCCATTCAGTTTCCACAGATGAATAATAATCCTTCAATGGTCTAAAAGCCTTCATTAAAATTCTGACATCAATTTTCTCATCAAGACATAAAGTGCAGCTCACAAGGACAGTGAAAGCCTAGACCAGTGGCATCACAGATTGACAAGTGGATCAGATTAAAACGAGCAGTATCCAAACATTTCCATTCAACAGCAAATTATTATTGTGGTAATTTTTATACTTGTCAATATTTCATTTCGTGTTTCATTTTATGTAGGCTATATCTTGTGAAATTAAATGTCCAATTACAACTCTGTGACAAGTCATCTCTGATGCTGCCCTGAACGCCAAATTGTCCCATTCAGCTTTTCGACTGCAGTCTGTTTAATAATTGTGCTGAACTAAGGTAAAATACATTAAAGCACATTTTATTAGAAAGAGAGAGCGAGAGAGAGAGAGAGCTTTGCCAGAGCAGTGAAATTAATTTGTATACTAGATTACATTTAAGTAATATTTAGTTTTCAGTTTTTAGAGCAGCCCTGCAGTATAAATAAAATAAGAGGCTGTGTATTGGTAAATGCCTGTTCTCCTTAATTAATTCATCAGGGGACTGTTTATCATCATTTTTAATTAAATTTGATCACATTTTAATAAGGTATTTCGAAATGTTAAATCATTTAACTAAAACTGTAGTTTCGTTTTGCCTGAGGGGACTGTTGCATATTTTAATTGAACAGATCATTTTAGTCACCTAGAGACACCTTTTACACCCTGTGCAAATGAGTTTGAAAGTTTGACCACCAATGGAAGCACTAGACAAAATACAATTAAAGTTTTATAGAGAATTTTGTATTTGTCACATTTTTATGACATTAGACTATTCCGTTTGACTCGGATACTGTGAGCTATTTTTGCATTTGGTTTCTTTCAGTAGTCCTACTAAAACACGAGGAGGCGCTATAGTAGTAATAGTTTAGCTCCACAAATCACACGACTAGTTCCATGGCTTCAAATGGATGTTTTAGCCCTCTGTTTTTCCACTAAATGCTGGGGTCATCCAGTCATCAAAAATGTCTAGGAAAACACTTTATTTTCACATTCCTATTAGAATGACATCTAAGTGATTTATGCTCACCGCCAACACCTGAATGGCCAGATTTATAGTTTTCTTTCCTCTCTTTAAGTAGTTTTATGGAATGTATTTCTTTCATCATATCACTGTCTTTTTAATGTATATTTATTGTAAATCAAGAAAAAGTTCAGTCGATTAAGAAATGTCATTCATCAAAGCACACTTAGTACATTCATGCTGATAATTCATATAGTCGTCTTTCTTTTTTTTTCTTTTTTTTATACATATCTTGAGTTACCCTTACTATAACTTCAGCATTTCTGTCTGAACTTTAGTTCTCAAAGTATCTAATATACAAAGACAATATTGCTACTCTGATATCTTGGGATATCAAGATAGTAGATACAAATTAATCTGTCCTGTGAAGTGGCATGAATTTTGCATAGTGAATAATACAATTCAAATATTATATGTAGTATCTCAATAAATAGCTGTCTGTTTATCTCGAATGAAGTACCGAGAGTGGATCTGTCAGGGTTTGGAGCTTACAGGACTGAGTTCTTGTATTCACATAAATGCTGATGTCCCAGAGACACATAAATTCTATATTGACGGTGATTTACATTGCTTAGGCGAATATGTTTTGCCAACTGGAACTGAATTGGCTGAACTAGAAACAATTGTAGACACACTGGTGGAATGGTGACGGTAATGTAAAGGTTACAGCCATTGCAATTGATTAATGTTTTCAAACAGGTTTCCAGAACACTGTCTGACTGGACAAAGATCTGGCCCCAAACTCTTGTCATTGTTTGCACAAATGTTGCTATGTTGAGCTGGCTGGGATGTTCAAATCAAGCAATGTACCACAATGTTTACACTCTTCAGTAATGTATTCTACCAATGTCTCAACGTTATCTCTAAGTATTAGGAGAGAGTAACAACGAACATTACATTTAGATGTGTTGTATAAGAGTTGTTTTCAGTCCTGGCCCTGGGGGCCAACGGCACAGCACATTTTGTATGTCTTTTTTTACAGAATCTGACACACTGGATACTGTAGAAAGACATTCATGACATTCACTGAGCCTGCAACTACAACAGTTCTTTCTGGCTTGTGCAATATTCCGTGTTCGATAAATCTATACCTACTAATTCAGACAGAAATAGTTTATGAAGTCTCTGTGTCATTTTGCAGTGAAATTTCTGGAGGTGTGATTTGTAGCTGTTGTCAGAGATCACATTCTGGACAGAAAATTAGGCATACAGTGACCCACCAAAATACTTCAGCAAAAGTAAAAAATGCATGAAATCGTTGCATTTAGATTAGATTACATCAACTCAAGTGACATTTTAAACAAAATATTTCACAAAAAGATGTTTGCTTTCAATGAAAAACAGATATACAGTACAGCTCAAAATTCTTTCTTTTTGTTTAGTTGTCAAACTTAATAGAAAGTTTATAACAGTACTCGGATACTGTGAGCTATTTTTGCATTTGGTTTCTTTCAGTAGTCCTACTAAAACACGAGGAGGCGCTATAGTAGTAATAGTTTAGCTCCACAAATCACACGACTAGTTCCATGGCTTCAAATGGTCGTGCTACAAATATTATAGCTACAGCCTATGTAGTCTATAGTTTTTATCATTTAAAATGACTTTTATGTGTTTTATTTGATTTTATAATATATTCTAAAAGATTTTGTCACATATGCTTTGACCTTCGTTTAAATTAAAGTGAACTAAATCAGACACAGGATTGGATAACTTAATATAATTGCGTGACCTTTCATTATTTGATTTTACATTCGACTTTCCTTTAAATTAAATATGGGCACAGTCTAATCAAAGTCGCATTTAAATGTTATCAGCGAGGCTGGAGACGGGACAGAACCAGAACGCTCGTTTGCAGTGTAACGGGACACTCAGATGAGCTGTGTGACGCCACAGGAAACCCGTTACACACTCCTTTGCTGCTTCAGGGGCCTCAACTCATCACCGAGCACATCTCCCAGTACACACTACACACTACGTACTGCCGCAGCGGAGAACAAGACCGAGCTAACGAGGTAAGAGCGAGAATTTATTCAGCTATGTCAACATGTTGATGTATTCTTCTTACGACGCGTATCTTGGTTTCTAAACTCACTGCGCACTTAAGTAAACTTTACTAAGCATCCTGCTGGGTCATATTGCTCAGAACTGAAATAGAAAACTTATTTCAGTTCATTTTCCTTTCTCAAATAATTAAATTCTGTTAATTGCTGTTAGCGTGGTGAGTCACTCTAAATTTGATGATTTATTAATTTTGCTTGTTATTCAAGAACCTTTAAAACGTGAAAGGTTCCTGTACCAACTTAGACTAAATCACTTTTTGTAGTAAAGACTGACAGTTATTGATCTCAGTTTGACTGAAGTGTTTTAGTACATTCATCAGTGTTCAGAATGATTACATTTGCAATAACATTACACAAAAATAAAATGGTGAGTTTACATTACAATATTCTAAACAGTAGTGATAAACTGATATTATTGCTTAATATGCCAATATTTGGCCATTTTAAGGTTATTAGCATTAACTGTAACCAACTTTCCAAGTGAAGTGGTTGTTCTGCCTAGTGTCACTACAACAGACTTGTCACTGCACATTTTCTTTCTTTCTTTCTTTCTTTCTTTCTTTCTTTCTTTTTTTAAACTATCATTAGTTTAAATATTGTGGAAAATATGTGTTTATTTACATATGGCAATAATTTGCTGCCATTAAATTATAATTGCCGGTATTACAGTCCTGGTGACACCCTAGATGCCACTAAAAAAGAAAAACCCTTATCAGTTGACCACTATTTAACAGTGATGTCTTTTAGTTGAACATTGAGGTTTGTAGCTGTGTTCTGGATAATTAATCTCTTGAACACTTAACACATTAAATAGTTTTAAAGAAGACGTGTTTTAGGAAAAGTCATGAAAGTCATTTAGATGGTTTGGAGGGTTCTGATCAATCATATTATTTTGACTTGTATTAAAACTTGACATAGAGTACAACCGTTACTTAAATATAAATGTTGTCTGCATACAGATTTCACATTACATTTTAAGGACTTGCATTTGTTATTATTGTGTTAATATGAAATGCATACACACAAGCAAAACCTTTAAAAAAAAAAAAGGCGTGAGATTTCAGCTTTTGAAATTTCTTTAAAAATGACAGAATGATTTCAGTTGAACAGTCTAACAGTTATCTCTGTGAGTTTGCACATTATTTCCGCTGAATACAACTTTATGCTGTGTCACTTTAAGATAAATCCTTATGAGTGAGTGGAAAAATTTGGTGTTATATCCATGGGTGTTTCCTAAACGGACATGAGTTAAACTAACTGTCAGTGGGCTTCCTGATTTAAGATCTGGAGAGTGGCTTTTTACGACCAGGCCCAGTAGAGAGAGAGTGACAGGAGAGAAAGGGAGGGAGGGAATAGGTGGGAGGGTTTGGGTTTGAGAGAGAGAGAGAGAGAGGGGTCTCTGGGAAAGTCACATCTATAAACCACTCCTTTAACTTCACAGGAAGGGCAAAAAGTTATCATGTTTTAGCCCTCTGTTTTTCCACTAAATGCTGGGGTCATCCAGTCATCAAAAATGTCTAGGAAAACACTTTATTTTCACATTCCTATTAAAGTGACATTTTAAACAAAATATTTCACAAAAAGATGTTTGCTTTCAATGAAAAACAGATAAACAGTACAGCTCAAAATTCTTTCTTTTTGTTTAGTTGTCAAACTTAATAGAAAGTTTATAACAGTTTATGAGGTTACTCTGCTTGGACACCAACTGGTCAATTTGAGGAGAATATACATTTTAATCAGTTGGTAATAAAAATGGCTAAAATGGCTCAGAAAAGGTGAAGTTAAAAGGAAGCTCTAGAATGAAGCTCATCATTTGTTTGCAGGTGCCAAATGCTTCGATATTTTGTTTATTAATCCATGTATAATCAATGTACAATTCATGACATTGTAGTTTAATTCAGTGGGTGCCCAAATTTATTTAGTTATTTATTTATTTATTATGATATCAGAAGGTGGCTTCCATACCTCCATGTATAATCAATGTACAATTCATGCCATTGTAGTTTAATTCAGTGGGTGCCCAAATTTATTTATTTATTTATTTATTATGATATCAGAAGGTGGCTTCCATACCTACCTACTCTATCCTTATTAACCATCTTTTTTCTCTTAAATATTCTGCATCATCTGATCTGTAATATCTGAAATGACCAAACGAATTAGAGAAATTAAAAAAGAAAATTATATTTTATGTGTAAGTCCCTGTTACCAAACAGAACATGCATGTGCCTGATGTGCCTAATGCACTCATTCCTTCTCATGTAATTCAGTTTCATGTTTTTAAATCAGATAGAGCAATCTGTACTCTATATGTAATACATTTATCATTATTTATGAAGCATAATACTGGTATTATTACAGTAGTACAAGATAAAAAATCGTATTCAGAAATGTCTTCAAAAGTTGCGATTATTGCCATTTTGCATTGAGAAATATTTCCTATCCAAATGGAAGTTATAAAAAACCCACACGTTCGCTAATTCACTTTGTCTGGACTTCTGGGAAGCATGTTCATTTTTGAGACTAAAGACAAATCCAAATGGATAATTTTCCACATATGAGTCTAGTCATGTGGTTTCGGGTCCCCATCCAAGCAGGAAATGTTTGGAGGCTGAACAAAAGAATCACATGACGTTTCAGCCCCTTGGCCATGGCCATACCGACAGGTATTAATTTAAAAAGGAAATAACAACAGAATCAAGGCAGATATTAAAGATGTTTTGGAATGCTCTGATAGTTCCACATGAAACACCATAAAAAGAATAAACCGGGGTTGTGTATAATCAAACTGTAGTCCAGGATGTCATAAAACATTAGCATGTAAAAATAGTGAATACTTTTTTTGCGAGCAACTTTTTTGTGGCTAAAACAGATCTTCCTATGCTTTGAAACTGATTTATGATGTTATCTATCAAGTGAGCCAAAACAGCCACGGTGAACCGTGTAATGCATGTTTAATGATGCCTTCTTGCCTTTTGTGGCGATTATCGGTGCCCTGATGGACTGAACTTTCACGTAAAGCAGGCTTTGATTCTACCCTCTTTTCCAACTTAACAACAGCGCTGTTACCACACTCCTGGGAGCGACAATAGGTCGACAGTTCACCTGGCTCCAACGGCTTGTTTTCTTGGAACTGGGAATTTACTGTCAGCTTGACAAAAATAACTATTAGAAATCCTTTAGGGAAATCCCTAATTTCATGTTTTCATTGTAGCTAACCTACACTCTTTGTTTAGCTTAACAATTAACCTAAATCTATTAGCAAAGTGTCTGGTCATCGCTCAGTACTTTTGATGTCAAACAGATTACTCTGTTTGCTTTCAGCGGAAGCATTCGGATCATTTGGATACACGAAAGCCAAACACCGGAACCATGTTTGGATGCTGGATTACCTCATTTCTCTTTCTGTCGGCAACCTCTGAGGTATTTGTTTGTCATAATTTTATACAAAAGTTATACACAGATTTATATCATTTTATTGGGTTAACTTGCTAGCTATTATTAACTCAAGTGTAACAAAACAAACTGATCCATGAAAAGTTTTTAAGTTCTCAACAAACAAACAGTCATTTGAGTGTGCATCTGCAACTATTATGCAATTCAAAGGTCCTGGACAGACAAACAAAGATTTGTTTTCTAAGGTTTATGTATCTGCCATTTTTGACATTCATCATCTAATGTCATTGTTGATCTCTCTTTTGTTTTTCATATTTGTGAATAGTTTTTTGTGGTGGTCCTCTCAGAGAACAAAACTGGAGGTACGGCACAAAAGAAAGGCCATGAAATGGGCTTCACTCGTCACAATATTTTGACCGCCCAGTTTGAATGTTACCAGAAGATTATGAAAGACACTAATCACAACAGAACAGGTGAGAGAGGTTCATATTTCACTTGACTCTTGAGTAATAGCTATAAACTACAACTCAGTCAGTCTTTAACTTGGATGGTCTTAAGAATATTAGGGGGTATGGACCGAATCGGATGATGTTTTGTCACATCATCCTGGAACTTACAGGAAGGCTCTTATGTGAACAGATGATTAATTGGAAACATTCCATTGGGTGTTTCCTACAACATGCATTTGTTCATCTACAGAAGCTCAACATCAGCTGTATGGCCTCTGAATTAAGATTCATTGCTGTCTACGAGACGCAAGTTATAATTGAAGGACGGTGATTAAAGCTTGACAAGGGGAGGCGGATGTTCTGTAACAGCTGTTAAAAGCTGTTTGGCAAAGATGCCCAAAACTGAGGATCCATTTGCAACTCAATAGTATGATAAAACATTTATAGAGTGCAACAGTGTCCACCCACATTTTCTGGACATGGTTTTCATTCATTTTTCCCATAGGGATTAAAAAAAAAAAGTCTTCATGAAAGAGCCACAAACCAATGCGGCTAGCTACAAGGTGAATTACAGCATTACAGACTTTGAATGAAGCAAAAAATGATTTGAAAAAAGACAAAGGTTCAAGACTTTGAAACTTTAATGACTTTAATGAGGTGAAGAACTACAATCACATTGCGTGTGTGTGTGTGTGTGTGTGTGTGTGTGTGTGTGTGCGTGTGCATAAAAAATATAGTTTACATTTATTGCAAAATATGCATATATTTACAAATATTTAAGTAGTTGAGAGTGTGTTGTTACATGGGAGTGGGTGTTTTCTGCTGAGAACTTTTGGTGTGATTTGCTCACCACGACTCTCTTGGTGGAATTTTCTTTACAGTAGCATGGGTAATGTAGTTTACACCAGGAAATATCACTGTTAAACATGATTCTTTGAAATATAGGTTGAAATAATGCAAACTGATGGCTTCAATAAACGCATATTCCATTGACAACCTCAAAGATCACAGTAAAGTATATCTGTCTTTAAGGGTCAAGTTATTGTTAAAAATAACTTTACCTGTGGCGAAAATGAATGGAATATTTACCTCCGGAATCCAACTGCTGCACTCTATATGCAGATTTATTGTTATTATTGATAAAAGATCTTTACTGTCTTTACAGCAGTCTTGTCTGAGAAGCCGATTGCCAAATGTAGACACAAAATACTAAGACCTGTTTTACATGCATGGTTTAAGAAAGACCAAGACTACAAGTTCCAAGTTTTTATGTTATTAATAACTGCAAATAACTCTATTGCAGATGGCTCTATGTGTAAACGGACCTGGGATGGATGGATGTGCTGGGAAGATTTGGAAGCAGGAGTCACTTCAGCTCAGCACTGTCCAGGCTACTTTAATGATTTTGACACCTCAGGTGAGTCGCATGTTAGATTTTCTCTCTTTTTTTGCCCGTTGAATGAAGGTTACTTAATACTTTATATAAAAGCCTGACTAATCCAAATTGTGTTTTATCAGAAATGGCAACGAAGATTTGTGCTGATTCGGGCCACTGGTTCGTTCACCCAGAGAGTAACAGAACATGGACAAATTACACGGGCTGTAAGCATAAATCTAATGATCACAAAAGGGTGAGCTCTAATTTAGGACTACAGTGGTCCATTCTATCTTCAAAATTCACACACTTTGCTTCACATAACTTTTGCTTTTGTTCATATGGTAAGTCTTGTATATCTATCCTCTTCTTTTCAGACAGCACTTAATCTCTACTACTTGGCTTTGATTGGTCATGGATTGTCGCTGATATCTTTGTTTACTTCTCTGGGGATATTTTTCTATTTTAAGTAAGTAATGTGGAAAAAACCTTGTCGCCATATCATATAAACGTACCTCCCTTTCCACCCAGTCTAATATAGTTTGCTGTTTTCTTCCACTCAGGAGCTTAAGTTGTCAAAGGATAACTCTGCACAAGAATCTGTTCTTCTCTTTTGTGCTTAACTCGGTTATAACCATCATCTTTTTCACTTGTGTTGCAAACAACCAAGAAGTAACACAAGCCAACACAGTAAGTGTACAAAAAGAATAGTGGGCTCTCATGTCACGCACAATATGACCAGGAATGCGTATTAAGAAAGTGAACAGGGTCATTTTGATTTGACATTGATGTTTTTTTCTCCAAGGTGAGCTGTAAAGTGTCCGTGTTCATCCACCATTATCTCCTGGGCTGTAACTACTTCTGGATGTTGTGTGAGGGAATCTACCTGCACACACTCATTGTGGTGGCAGTGTTTGCTGAGAAACAGCACCTAATGTGGTATTACCTCCTAGGATGGGGTACGTTTTTAAAATTGCCACGCTAAAATGCACCAAAATAAAGCGGCTCTCTGTTTTCTGCTCACATTTAATGATTTTATTCTTTTTTGCTTTTGTTCATATGGTAAGTTTTGTATATCTATCCTCTTCTTTTCAGACAGCACTTAATCTCTACTACTTGGCTTTAATTGGTCATGGATTGTCGCTGATATCTTTGTTTACTTCTCTGGGGATATTTTTCTATTTTAAGTAAGTAATGTGGAAAAAACCTTGTCGCCATATCATATAAACGTACCTCCCTTTCCACCCAGTCTAATATAGTTTGCTGTTTTCTTCCACTCAGGAGCTTAAGTTGTCAAAGGATAACTCTGCACAAGAATCTGTTCTTCTCTTTTGTGCTTAACTCGGTTATAACCATCATCTTTTTCACTTGTGTTGCAAACAACCAAGAAGTAACACAAGCCAACACAGTAAGTGTACAAAAAGAATAGTGGGCTCTCATGTCACGCACAATATGACCAGGAATGCGTATTAAGAAAGTGAACAGGGTCATTTTGATTTGACATTGATGTTTTTTTCTCCAAGGTGAGCTGTAAAGTGTCCGTGTTCATCCACCATTATCTCCTGGGCTGTAACTACTTCTGGATGTTGTGTGAGGGAATCTACCTGCACACACTCATTGTGGTGGCAGTGTTTGCTGAGAAACAGCACCTAATGTGGTATTACCTCCTAGGATGGGGTACGTTTTTAAAATTGCCACGCTAAAATGCACCAAAATAAAGCGGCTCTCTGTTTTCTGCTCACATTTAATGATTTTATTCTTTTCAAATGTTTCCCAGGCTTCCCGTTAATACCTGCATTCATCCATGCAATATCCCGAAGTTATTACTACAATGACAAGTGAGTTAAATCGAATAGGAATTTAAGAATTCTGATCCTACTTAATGATTCTGGTTCTATAATGATTCCAGTAAAAACATTTTTTGAGGAAGCATCCCTCCTCCTCGTTAGTGGTCATAGTTATATACTGAGCAACAGTACTGTTTTTATATTACTGTTGAAAAATGCTTATTTTTACAGTTTTAACCATATTATTTTGAGAGCATATTTTAATGTTATATATTAATGTTGAATGTTACATTTACAGTGTGTATATATACACTACCAAAAATTTCTCTTAAGGGCTGCATGTATTTGGTGAAAACAGTAAAAACTAATATTGTGAAATATTATTACAATTTAAAATAACGGTTTTCTATTTAAATATTTAAAAATGTAAAAATGATGGCAAAGCCGAATTTTCAGCAACCATTAATTCAGTCTTTTTAATATGCTGATTTAATGCTCAAGATGTATTATTATTAATGTTGAAAACAGTTGTACTGTTTAATATTTTACTGTGATACACTACCATTCAAAGGTCTTCGGTAATTAAATGGATATTTAAATTCATATTTAAAAAAGAGAAATACATTTTTTTCATCAAAGAAGCATTTAAATTGATCAAAAGTGACAGAAAATACTTTTATAACGTTATTATAAATGTTGTTCGTTTGAAATAAAAAAACTCTTTTCAACATTGATAATGACTGTTTTTACTGTATTTTTTAATAAATAAATGTTGTGAGCATTAGAGATTTCTTTCATTCAACATTAAAAATTATTAATTATTCCAAACTTTTTACCTTTAATGTATATATATATATATATATATATATTTTTTTTTTGCCAATTTCTTATGCTGTAGATTGTAGCTAATAAACACTGTTAGAGCATTGTAGTACCATGGAACCAATTTTAAAAACTGAATTAGTTCTCAATTTTGAATTCAATGTCAAAAAATGTACGTTCAGTTCATCCCGGTTTCTGTCAGGACACAGGAATACAGTGACCAAGCAGAGTCTGAACATCTTGTGAAATCATAGCAGTGATGTCACTGAACAGTTAACAAAGTGTTCATGCGTTCATTGGTTCTGCTTTCCGTAAATCTGAACTTTTCTTACGCTTTTGTCCACAGCTGTTGGATAAGCTCGAACACTTCTCTGCTCTACATTATTCATGGTCCCATCTGTGCAGCCCTTTTGGTAAGCCTGTTTTTCTTTTTCTAGTCTTATTGCCTTTCACTATTTCATTTTCTCACACTTTATCTCTCTTGGTTATCTTCTACCCACCCTTGGAAATGTATATGTATCTGCATGATCTTGATTTCAAAAAATCACCTTAAGCTCTGGCAGTTTTAATCAAAGTGCCGGGTTCTCTTTGTTGTTTGTGTTGAGGTCAGTTCTGATTAGGAATGAATTTCAATGCAGCCCATAAAAGCATGTAATGAACACATGCCCAGTATCAAATGAATCTTGGACTGACTTCTGCAGTGCTTCAATTGCCAGTTTAAAGCTGATTTTGTGTCATTATACAAAGTTATTGCTGTTTACAAGAATATTTATACTTTCAGAATTGGTTGATGACAAATATCCAACCAATACTCACAGGAAACCGTTTTACAGTAACCGTTTTACGAGGTGGCGATTTCATTTGTATGATGTGAATCATACAAAAATGTAGGATTTTTAGAAAAAAAGTAAGCATTAGGATCCACCCCTGCTGGGATGAAAGCAGATTGTACGAAAACGTATGGATAAAATCATACAAATTAATATTAATTAGCCAAAAGTCGCTAAAAAATATATAAAATAGTGAAAAATGGCCATGAGACTATGTTGGAATGTCACAATCTCAATATAATAACCGATTCTTAAACTATTTGGTCCACCACCAGTCTTGAATATATGGTTGTATCCGTGGCTGTTTATATGACAATTTACAGGTATTTTGATAGCGTTGTATATCTGAATATGTCTTTCCAGGTAACATAACATAATCCAAACTTTAGAATTGACCTTTTAATCCATATTTGAATGTACAGTGGGGTTCAAAAGTCACTTTTTATTAAAACCTGAAAATAAAAAGAATGTTTAACATTTCGAAAAATGTAAAAAGAAAGTCAATATGTGACATAGTGTGTCTTTACTAGTTTTGGTTTAGAAGTAATGTAGTGCATTCCTTTCTTTCTTTCTTTCTTTCTTTCTTTCTTTCTTTCTTTCTCTGTCTGTATAGTTGATTTTTTTTCTCTGCTTGGTTTCCACAGGTTAACCTCTTCTTCCTTTTAAACATTGTGAGAGTGTTGATCACTAAGCTGAAGGTGACCCACCAGGCAGAATCCAGTCTGTACATGAGGGCCGTCAGGGCCACCTTAATTCTGGAAATACACACACATACAGTATATATATTTGAAATATTTACATGTATATATATTTATATTATATATTTTATATTATATATAAATATATTTAATATATAAACATAACATATTTTTCTTAAATATATACATGAATGTGTGTGTATTATATATACATAATAAATATACACAATACACACACATATTATGTTAAAAACAACTTATTTCGGATGCGATTAATCGCGATTAATCATTTGACGGCACTAGTTTAAATATTTTCTAAATAAACTAATATGAAATAAACTTATGTGCTGTATTATGTTAGTCAACACATCCAAATTTGTGTTAGGAAATAGCAGTGCTGGAAAGGTTACTTTGAAAATGTAATAGCTTACAGGTCCAGTCTGTACATGAGGGCCGTCAGGGCCACCTTAATTCTGGTACCTCTGCTGGGCATTCAGTACATACTGCTGCCCTACAAACCCGACGGACGGCTCGCCGCCGAGATATTTATACACACGATGAACATACTTATTCATTACCAGGTAAGTGCTGTTGACAACAGGAAAAGAATCAATTTATTAAAAAAATAAAAATGACAATAAATAAATCAACTTGGACTATAAATATACATATTTGAAACTTTAATTAATTAATGTTTAAATTAGTGCTGTCAAATGATTAATCGCATCCAAAATAAAAGAACTAAAACTATAATTTTGGATGCGATTAATCATCTGACAGCACTAGTATATACATGTAAATATTTTCAAAATATATACTGTATGATAAATAATAATATATATTATGTGTATATAATATAATAAATAAATATATAATACAATAAATATACACAGTACACATACATATATTACGTAAACAAAACCTTTATTTTGGATGCGATTAATCGTGATTAATCGTTTGACAGCACTAGTTTAAATATGTAGTTAAATGTAACAATAAAATAAGTTATTAAAACCTCATTTTTATATGCATCTTGCATTAAATTGCATAGATCAAAGACCTACTTTATCAGCATTAAATTAAACCAATGGCATTTTTGTAATCACTTGGCGAATGAAAAAAGAAATACAATTTGTAAATTTTTTATAAAAAAATCTATATTTAATACATTTGAATTATAATAAAAAAATATTTAAACATTGCAAATGATGTATTAATGATATATTATTTATTGTTAGATTTAACGAAATTTTAAATAATGAATTAAACACTTTTTCTCTCAGTTAAGTCTATTAAACCTAATTTAAATCTTTAAATCATGATTAATCACATCCAAAATATATAAATACACACACATATATGTATATATTTATTAAATATTTACATGTATATATGTATTCACAATTAGATATGGTTTATATTATATATAAATATAAATATATATTACATATATTTCTTAAATATACACAGGTATGTCTGTGTATTTATATATATACATATAAATATACACAGTACTCACACAAATATTATGTAAACACAAACTTTTATTTTGAATGCGATTAATCACGATTAATCGATTTGACAGCACTCATTTAAATCTATTGTCTACATTTTTTGTTAATGTGAAAAGTGATTTATTTATATATATATATATTTTAATTAACCTAGTAATAATTGTTTTCTTTTTCATTTTATATTTTAATGGCACTCACACTCCTCCATACACATTGGTTTACACTAGAAAAAAAAACAGTAACGTTGAAGCTTATAAAATAATCCTTTTTTTTTTACGCAGGGCCTTTTGGTTGCCACTATATTTTGCTTTTTCAATAGCGAGGTAAGCAATTTCAATGCATTCATAATTGTTAATGTTTTCCTTGCGTGTAGATCAAAACATAAATATATTTGTCATTATACTTACTATCTGTCTGTATTCTGTTTGTTTAGGTGCAAGGTGTATTACGAAGGCACTGGAACCAGTACCGCATACAGTTCGGCAGCACATTTGCGAACACTGAGGCCCTGCGTTCTGCATCCTACACAGCCTCCTCCATGACGGAGGTCCATCGATGTTACAGCATCGACAGCCACATGGAGACTCTGAACGGAAAGAGTTTTCACAATCTGGAGACCACCATTCTCCGATCAGACAACCTGTACATGTGAGAGACTCTAACTCTTTGACCTTTGGGAGAACAGCCTCATGGAGAGGACCACTGACTGAGATGTGTGTGAGAAGAGGCCTACTGGACATACATCTGGTTACTTTGGACTACAGACACCCAGAAGCCTTTCCTGTTCCGTAGAGGCCTTAGTTATCTTATGTTTATGGATGGGAACTGGAGAAAATACTGTATTTTATATGGAATATTAAAGTCACATGAACCTTTTCCATGATGATCCAGTGGAACACTTTGGAGAACATCACAAATAGTCAGTCTTTCAGATTTCTTTATTGAAATGGAGTTGTTCAATGGGTGAAACTATGAACTTAGGATCACACCCTAATGAAGCTTTTTCTTTATGGCACTGTGTTGTTTTAGTGAAGGTTGAGCCACACTGATGCATTGGATGATGGATTCCACATCTATGGATCTATGGAATATTCTGGCTCAAAGAACCTGTAGTAGAAGAAAGGAATAAACAATTAAAGAGACGAAATCACTATGATGTGATTTCAGAAGATACTGATAACCTTGTCCTGCTCTTTTTGTTCATCCTGAACTTCATCTAGTTATCAGTTATGTGATTAATTTGTGACCCTGGACCACAAAACCAGTCTTAAGTAGCAATAGCCAAAAGTACATTGTATGGGTCAAAATGATCGATTTTTCTTTTATGCCAAAAATCATTAAAGTAAAGATCATGTTCCATGAAGATATTTTGTAAATTTCCTACCGTAAATACATCAAAACTTCATTTTTGATTAGTAATATGCACTGCTAAGGATTTTATTTGGACAACTTTAAAGGCGATTTTCTCAATATTTAGATTTTTTTGCACCCTCAGATTCCAGATTTTCAAATAGTTGTATCTCGGCCAAATATTGTCCTATATCCTAACAAACATACATCAATGGAAAGCTTATTTATTCAGCTTTCAGATGATGTATAAATCTCAATTTCAAAAATTGACACTTAAGACTGGTTTTGTTTTTGTGAAATTTTTATCCACATACAGGGCAATATTGACAATATATTCTATATATGCTAAATGTTTTATTGTCTCTTAGGAGTACTGAGTTTTTATATATACGTGTATATATATACTTTGATTAAAGAAACCAAAACAGAACAGAGTTACTGTCATCAGAAACAAGAGTCACTGTCAACATACATTTCCCTGCTAAAAGACTAGCAGATCATGGATCAATTAAATGAACCAGTCTGGACTAGCATGTAAATTCTTACTGGTCTTTTCAGCAGGGTTATCTTATTTACTTTTGATTCATCGAAATGTCTATCTTAAACTAATTTATCTGTAGTGCATATGAATCTCAGTATAAGTGAGTCTTGTTCAAAGGCAAGTTACATTAGCACATGTGTTTGGAGACAGTTTTTGGAGATCTACAGATCTACAAACAGAGATGAGGTCTCAATCTGTGTCTCTATGTCTGGAACATACAGATGCGTTTGCCGTTTTTTTCACTGTTGTGTTTCTTAAAACATTTTATGTGCACATGCTGGATAAATAAACATTCATATTTTGAGATGTAAATGCATTTCTATGTTTGTATCTTATGCATGTTTTCATTTGTATAAAGAAATTAATATGCATGTTTTCATTTGTATAAAGAAATGAATGTCTTTATTGGAATCAATCTTTCCATGAAGAACTTTTAACCTCCATAATGAACATTGAACATTCATGGAAGCTTTCCATTGCACAAAATGATATTTATAGTGGAAAATGTTTCTTTAGATTATTAAAATATTCTTCACAGTTAGAAAAACATGCTCCTTTTAAAGGTATAGCTTGCACAGATATCAAAATTCTCTCATTGTTTACTCACCCTCAAGTCGTTTTTAAACCTTGCTTCGTATATGTAATATGTATACGTATATGTAACAAACCCGTATGAGTTTCTTTCTTCTGTTGAACACAAAAGAAGATATTTCAAAGAATGTGGGTATAAGCAGACGAAACAGTTGGCCACAGCTACTGATGTTTTTTGTTTTCAACAGAAGAAAGAAACACCTACAAGTTTGGGGTGAGTAAATGGTGAACTATCCCTTTAAGAACAGTTCATGGTAAGGTTCTTTAGGGAACTCAAAATGGTTCTTTGAAATAACTGTGAAAACACTATTTTTAAGATTGATTATTGGAATCTAATGTTTTACCTTTAAAAGCTGAAATTACCTATTAGTCATGACACCTGATACAATTCAGACATACCACCAATTAATTTAGAAAAAAACTGACTTCTTTGCGCACGGTTTGGAAAAATATGTTGAAAATATTGTCACTGTATGTTTTTCTGATGGAAGTATAAGCATTTCAAGAGCAAATACAAGTTTAAACATCTTGAAATTATTTGAAAAAAGTGAACAAGACCAGCATGAATGTTCACATGTTGCTGTAGTCAGATGCTATAACTGCAGAGATTTAGTCTCAAATTATTTCCTGTTTATCTGTCAATTAGCTCTGTTCCTGTTTATTCTCCAACTTCCAAAATAAACAACTCATTTACATAAGAGTCTATTCTTTGTGATAAAGCTGCATGTTAGTCGTAAGGAACATATGCATTCAATGTCACTGCAAACGTGATCGAGATATTATTAAAGTAACAAAGATGGCGGCTGTGCTCCTGCAGTGAGCACATTTCCCATTGGAATACTGATGTTTTTAAATGTGTTCTGTTAAAGGCAGCAGATTACTAAAGATACTGTTGGAGGTCACTTCACAAAGGGATATGTGAGTGCTCCAACAGGATGTGTAACTTCCTCACTAATACACACATACATGCATGCACACACACACACACACTGTGGAAAAAAAGTTGCAGAAGTAAACAGTGTACAGCTGACATGTGTCTCTGCCTCTGGGAAAAGCACAGGAAGAAGCCTCGGATTTGGTGCTGCCACACACTATGGGGTCTCACTTTCTCTCTAAATGTGTGTGTGTCAAACACACGTTATTATGTAAAATCTGCAGTTATCAACGTTCGCAGAGATTGATGTTCTGTGATTGTTTGCATTGGTTCCATATGTGGTGTAGGGGCCCAGAGGGACAAACCCTCCCTTGTCATCAGCTCTACTCTCAGCAGATTAATTGCACGCACAAGGACCTGCAGCAAATGCAGGCAATTGGCCTCAAGCTATTTTTCAACCCTCAAAAAATAGTTAATATATATTTTTGACATGTAAATGAATCATTTTAAATGAATTGTTGAGGGCACAGATCAAAGATAATCTTTAAAACTATGATAGAAATGGCTTTTCTTTGTTTGACCTACTGAAAAAAAAACCCTGCTTAAAATATCCTGAGCTGGTTTTCTGGTTTAAAAAGGTCTCACAGCCTGGCAAAGCTGGCCTTAGCTGCTCTAGCTGGTCTCTGAACCTGGTTTAGTTTTGTGGCAAACTCATCTCTCAGCTTGACCCAAATAAAGAATGCAAGTCACACCTCTGTTTGTCTATTTGCACTGGCTACCAATAGCTGCTCGCATAAAAGTCAAGGCATTAATGTTTGCCTACAAAACCACCACTGGCTCTGCACCGCTTTACCTAAATTCATTACTTCAGACTTATATGCCCTCTAGAAGCTTGCGTTCTGCAAGTGAACGTCGCTTTATTGTGCCATCCCAAAGAGGCACAAAATCACTCTCACAGACTTTTACATTAAATGTTCCCTCCTGGTGGAATGACCTGCCCAAATCAATCCGAGCAGCTTCATCTTCAAGAATCGGCTAAAAACACATCTCTTCCATCTTTATTTGACCCTGTAACTCTAGCACTCTCTATTCTAATACTATTCTTAAAAAAAAACGCAAGTTTTTATTTACGTTTTTGTATTCTATCTATTTGTTTTCTTTTTATTTATTATACAATTAACAAAAGCAAAAAGGCCTCTAACACTAGCTTGCTTTATTTTTTTTCTATTCTATCTGTTTTCTTTTTATTTATTATACCATTTAAAAAAAAAACTTGCTACCTGTACTGTGTTAAGCTAACTGAGACTTGTTATAGCACTTGCATATCATTGCTCTTTTGTTGATTCTGATTGCTTCCATTGTCCTCATTTATAAGTCCCTTTGGATAAAAGCGTCTGCTAAATGACTAAATGTAAATGTAAAAGTGCTTAGGGTGTCCATTCGCATCTGTAGAGTGATATATACAAAGTTCTGACATGAAACTCTAGATGGCGCAGTCCGATAGATCTAACTCAATATGACATAATAACATCATGATCACATATCACAGCTGTTTGGTTCTCTCCTGTATTGGTAGCCAATGAGCTCGCTGCTCAACATTCATAAATACTTGGCTAGTGTTTGCTGTAGCAGTAGCAGCGCACTTCAGAAACCCTCCACCTTCCCCAGCTCCACCTGTATAGATCTGCTACGAGGTGATTCATGTATGCTATATGGGGGTTA